ACACGTGGTCATTAACTGTGCAAGGGACGTGGAACATCCATGGTGCGAAAATCACGTGGATTAACTGGCCAAAATAACGGAGTTGAAACGTGGAAGAACAGTTACAGCGAGAACTGCCATTTTCCGAGACAGCATTTACTGTCTCGCTGAGCGAGCAGGCAAATTTATTGTCTCGCTTGGTCGGAGCAGCAAACGCTTCCTCGCCAGCGAGACAGTAAACACTTCTCGCCGTACTGACTTCTTCGATTGTTAATGTTTTGCAGTTACAGACCCTTGAGGCTATAAATACCCCTATAGGTCACTTCTGACGAGGATCGGCATTTGTTAGAGCATTCGCAGAGCAGAGAGAGCAGAGATTTGAGTTCTTTTCTTGCAAGCCTTGAAAATAAGCTTCGACTATGATTTTAAGAGAACGACTATCTTTACTTCGATAGATATGCGTTTCAATTTCTTACTTCGATAACGAATGTTAGAATCCATAAGGCCCCTTTCAGCGATCTGTGAATGCGGCGGTCCACGAACCAAAGCGTTCCCGGCACAGGCAAAGTCCCAGAAAACGAAATTGATAGACCGATTTTCGTGTTTGTTTTCAAGAGTTGTAATTTTGTTTTTGTTGTTGTAGAAAAAGTCTTATAAAAAGATTATTCTTCGAACTTTGTTGTAATCGAACAAAGTTATAGATGCAATTTCCACAGCCAAGCGACTTTTGACCAAACAAGGCTGGCGGACCACAGTGGGAGCCAGCGCCTCGCTGCGAGGCGCGGCTGTGTCGCAACCGATCATGATCATCATCATGAAGAGATCGAATGCGAATTTCGGATTCAGGCGAAGTTTGAGGAGTATATTATAGTCTTCCATCGCGGAATTCTTTCCTCGTCTCAACAAATATAGGGAGATTTCGAAAACTTTGCAAGTCTGCAATGCCCACAGAGGAGCGCGGAGGTGAAGTTGCCTACTCAATTGTGACTGCTTAAGGAACCACATCTGCAAGCATACCTGCTCCAAACGACATCGGCACATCCCTTAAGGAGTGGATGACGAATAGCTCGCCGGTGCTGACGGAAGAGGGCGTACGTCCAGAGACAGCGTCAGCGTCCGTGCTGAATGGCATAAGGGCATGCACACACAACGCTGGGGTCCATTACTATGCGGACCTAAAGTCGAGAAAAACAAAAATGACCCAGTTGCCTCGAATGCAAGGATAATGCATATTTCTGGAAGCTTACGACGGAGATGCACAGCTCTCGTCAAAAGGGCCCGTTAACCCTTAAAGAATTCGGATACAAATGTGTAAGGCGAAGGCTTGCACAGCTCGCGCTCGTGCGTCAACGAGGAGCAAGAACCAAGAAAGAGGCGGTGACTGAAAGGCCACCGAAGTCGATAAGTCTGGATGCCGAAAGCACCACAAGCATCTGTTCGGCCCGTCTCTGCAACACCAGTAGAAACCCTGGTTAGCCAGATTTGTCCAAGTTCAAGATAAGCAATGGGCAAGATCGCTTGCGTCGCTTCAGTTGTCGATGCAAAGCCCCAGTCAAGGAACAATCATGTGCCGGCAAATAAATCATTAATTGGTTTCTATGCAGGGGTCCAATAATACACGTAAAAAAAACCTCCACTGTACAGAACATGCCACAACGCTAAACGAGAGCAATTACCAGTTCACTCTCGTTTTAGGACCTCTGAAACTCCACCACGCTAAGACGGGGTGTGATTTAACATTACGCACTTTGGGATCGGCTCCAGATTAAGGCGAGGAAAGAACGACAGCTCCGCTCGCATGTGCATGTTAACAAACGTTCGCAAAAGGCGAAAAGATTAGTGCGTCGAACACTTCAACATAAGATGAATAGAGCTTACTATTCAGCAAAGAATAATCTCAGAAAGAGAACATATAGATCGGTTGTTCAGAATGAAAATGTAGTCTCATTGCACGCAATGCGAGAAGACCTCATTATAAAGACAAGATGTTGACATGTAATGTGGAATGTCTCTCAAGAACTAAATTCAACAATGAGTCTGCCGTATTTAATCAATTCAAGATTGTCAGCAGAACGAACACGTCATTAGACCAACATTAGCAAGATTCAACAAAAGAAACCTGATAAACTCGACAAGATAGAGTTCATGAGGTCACTATTAACATGTACCAGACAAAGGAAGCAAAAATCTGTTAATCCCGACCCATGATTTCTCTCCAGGAGGGAGAGATATGAAGCGGGGTGCTTTCCTCAACGGATGGCGGGCGGTTCAACGAAGAGCCACTTACGACGAAACTACACGGAGATGCCACGAGGGTTTATGCTTCAGATGAAGAATTGTGCAGTACTTGTTTCCGTATTGGCATCGGACGATACCGCATCCAGTTGTTGACGAGCCAGAATTTCGCGGTCACGGCCGGATGCAAACTAGCTCAAATGCTGGCAACGAAGCGTGGTAAACACGGCGAAGAAATTAGAGCTGAGTTCAAAACACGAAATGGAGTTGACTATGCAGCAGATGCGAGATTTGGCAGGTGGCGCAGGCAACCCGCAACCGGAGTCAAGCCAAAGAGCAGAATCCAGTCGGCGTAATGAAAGAGGATGTAGAACATATTTGAAGATTCCTCCTCCAGATAAAGACAACTCCGGAGCGATCGCGACCTTAAGTCAGGCCACTCAACTCCACAGGTCTATTTGAAGAAAAAGCGAGGAAGAGGCAACGAGAGATGCACGAATCTTGAGAGCAAAGTCAACGCTTTGATGACGGCTCAAGAAGTGAATGTAAAACGGGCATGCCCATAACCCGTACGGCCGAGGGAGTGGGACCTGATTCGGGCTTATCGCAGAAATTTAATTTGATAACTTTACTGCCTTTGATGGCAGGGGTTTCACGCAACTCAGCAAGCGTTGATCTATTTCAAGTCGCATCTCGGCGCCAATATCTGGGAAACGAAGCCGCTGATGGTCCGGTCATTCGTAGGAACCGCTCGCGGCCTGCCTTCGGATTGGTACCGTAGAGCTGGGACCCCTTAAGCTGGGAGTATCCCTAGCTGGCAGACAATGGAAGAGTCATTCCTCACCACATTTCTTCGACGGACAGGAACGGAAGTGCTTCGATCGGCACGTTGTTGATGAGAAAGCAGAAGGATGGGGAATCGTTGATGTCTTGTCAACGATTCCGGGAGCAAGCGGTGAACTTGGCAGAGTTCCCACTCACTGAGGAATTTATTCTGGGCAAACATGTCATAAATAATCTGTCCTTGGATGTATTGAGAAGTGGTGGGGTTGTTGCCTCTAAAACTTGGAAGAGATGAAGTAATGAGGTGAAGCAAGCTGAACGCTTCCTGCAAGAGAGATGAATTTGGAGGCGAGTTTCCACCTAGCTATATCAGAAATCAACAAATCAAAAGCAGAACTTTAACCCCTCGAGGCAGAGGAAGAGGTCTGTAGCGCTGTGGACGCAGCATCAGACGTCACAAGCAGCACCGCACCAACGCAAGCAGATCATCTTCGGCAATTGGCCGCGCAAACAGACTACTAGCCTCGAAGGCAGTTTAAGGAATTCTGAGCCGTAGATTCCGCAAGGAATACTTCTTTCAAAGATGATGAAAGTTCGGCGGTCATCTTCAAATACTGTTGTTAGAGAACAAAAGAATAGCTTCCCCGGTCATCAAAAGCAAGTATAGAAGCAACGAAGATCAATGACGCCAGTATTGTGCATATAACAGAAGGGTCCACCTCCTACTAAGCAACATGTTTTTTAAAGGATAAAATTCAAACATTGATTGAATGTGGTATTGTGACACGAAGCGCAAGGAGAAAAGGTAGGCGGGCAAACGCGGTCTGCTATTAGCTTCGGATCGGTTCTCCTTTTGTCCTGGTTTCAGCGCGCCAGTATGCCAGGTCAAGTGCAAAGCCATACATGAAACCCCTCATGGCAGCGCCAGAAGGGGCTGCGTATCTTCAGCACCCCGCCAACGCGAAATCCTTTGGATTCATCCGGATTTGCTTGAAGATGAACAGTGACGACGACCCACATCAAAGAAGAAGTCAAAAGGCAAGGGAAAGGAGAAGTCGCTGGGTATGGAGCCTCGGCGATTCGCCGAGAAGAACGATGAGGATATAGCAGCTTTTATTACTTTCTGATGGAAGAAAGGGAAGTTTTTGCTACCAAGAGTGGAAACGAGTACCATTATAGGTATCCGGAAACACTGCAGATCGCAAATGCCAAAACTCTTAGGAGGCTGGGGTAGGCATACTCCACCAAAGTAACAGCTGAAAAACGCTCAGAAGTTGTTAAGGCAACCAAGAAAAAGAACTCAAGCACAGAGAAGGTTCCAAATTCCGAAGGCAGTCTGCGGTTTAGTGCGACCGATTGGACGAGACAAACCCGAAAGCCCGAACGGCAACATATCGTTCTTTCGACGTTATGGCTAGCTGCTAATATCGCCAGGCAAGGAATCACATTGTCGAGTTGCTGCGCGCGCTCTGCAAAAAAACCAGCACGAAGCTTTACAGAAGCCTTTCGGCTGATTCTGAAGTATCTTAACTCAGGTCATGCCAGCTCTAGAAGAGGCCACGAATCCGTCCAGTGCAGCATTGGCAATCTGACACGCGCCACACACTCTCTCTTGTATTGGCTTTCACAAAAGAAGACATGCAAGTCAGGCACACTCTCACCAGCATGATAGAACGTTATATTTTACTGGATCTCACTCACTCGGTTGCGAGCATGGTTAAACCGGATCAAGTCGATCCGGCGTTCGCTGTTAGTAATCGATGCCACTTCGTTTGATGTACCCATCGGAATTTCCAGCCAGCAAGTTATAGACCTCACCTGGATGACGGTTATGGTATGGGTTGCAACACAAGCGGGTCACGACCGGTTGGCAAAGCCGGGGTGAAGTGTCAACTCGGAGATGCTGAAGTCTGAGTTCACCTGCTATGTGATCTGATGCTTGTGAATTTTTGAGTGATCTTCTCTATGCTTGGGATATCTATTAGCATTTTTTGACGCCTACAAGGGGATCTATCCGCATTTGGGTAAACACTACAAGGGGGCCTATCCGTACCAATGGAACTGCAGGGGCTCTATCCACAATTGGTTATAGTAGAGGGTGTCTATTCTCAATTAGATGAAAATTAGCCGTCCATAATAAAAAAGAGAAGGATAGAGATCACAAGAATCCAAATCAAATTGTTTAATAGCTAACCATATAGACATAAGAGAGGGAACAGATGATCTAGTACTTATTGCGACACATATATCATACGGGAAAGACATAAAGCAAACCATGGGGGGCAGATAGCAAATTTAGAAAGCTATAGTTGCAATTTTAAAATTTTGCAAATTTAGAAAGCTTTAGATGCAATTTTAAATTTTATAGAGTTGCAATTGCTCTGGTTGCATGAAACATAACCTAGTACTTATAAATTCTTTAGTTGATGATGCATTTTCACTTCCAATAACAGATACTTTCTACTACATGCACCATATTTTACTTGATTCCTATCTTTTATTGACTTTAATAGACATCATCATCTATAACTTTAAACCTTCTTTACAGACCACATTCTCACTCTCCAAGTCACTCATCTAGCTCGACATAACTTCTGAAAACTAGAGATTTTCTTAATTCATTGTTGGTGAAGTAACTACAAACATCTATTTTACTACCCATATCTGTAATCAATACTTTTCGAGATCCTATGAAACAATTAACGGGGTGTCTGCCTGCCTGTAGTTGGAGGCACATGTTCAAATTACAATTGCAAACAAGAAACACTTGCTGGCAGCTGATTTTACATCTGCGTTTTGTAGTTGTAATCATATTATGGACTCAAAATCATGTAGTTCAGTTATATCCAAATGAGTCAAACTACAACTACTTACTAAAATGTGTGTCTAGTAGCATCCACATCAGCAATTGTGTCATATTGATCATATTTTGACCAGTTTTATTACTGTTCAAGATTATAAAAATTTGATATTATGGATTAAATTATTTTTAATAACCAATCATGAGAATGCTATCCGAACACTGGATTGCACCTCTAACTCATGTAATTTGAGCAAGGTGGGATTGTTTGGTTTGTCACAACTATGATCATAATGCAAATGTCAGTAGCATGCATCTAGCAGTTACTATCACATGCAGTTGTAGTTGCTAATCTCACAATGTCTTAGTTCAGTTCTACTTTGTAGTGTTATAGTTATAATTTAGACCTCGTTTGCTACTCCAAAGGGATGCGAGCGGGATTTACACCCAAGTCTAATGAAACAGGTTTCCTTTTGTAATTGCAGTTGTAGTGAAATAAATAGCAGCAAGTGCCCCTACATGTACCAGCCGCATGCAACTGCAATTACAATACTTGCCATCGTAGGCTTGTAGTTGTAGCTAACGAAACAGTGCTCTGGTTATTGCAGATGCAATATTTTTTTTGCAATCACAATAACTCGGAATGTGGCAGTTGCACGCAACTACAGTTACAACTGTTGAGTTGGGGGCGAAGCAAACACTCTTCTACATGATGGAGATGCAGTATCTTTTTGCAATTACAGGAACCAAAAACACCGTAAATCAATCTACTAGTAAATAAAACAAACTCAAAGATAACCCCACTGAAGAAAAGCTAAAAAAGAAACTCACTTGGGCATTTCATCAAACACCTACCACCCCTATCTCCTCCTCCCCCTCCTCGACCTCCCCCCACTTCCCGTTGACATCCCACTCCTCATAATCCCTCTCGACCATCTTCGCCCCCTCCTCGTCCCCCAACCTCCTCAACCCCCTAACCAAAAACCCAAACAAGTACTCGTTCGGCACGCACCCACCTCTCTTCATCAAACCCATAAACCTCCTTCGCCTCCCTTCCCTCCCCGCCCCCACCATCGCCTTCAGTAACCTCGCGGCCCCCTCAATCATCCCCCTTCACCCCTCCCATTTCCCTCAAACTTCCCCAAAACCCCCATCAAGAACTTGTCAATCTCGCCGTCGAGGTCGCCGTTGCTGTTGCGTTCTCGACAGGGAGTTGAGGATGTCGGGTAGAGGGAGAGGGTGGGGAGGTGGGGAGGAGGGGGAGGAGGAGAGGGCGAGGAGGGGAGGTCCTGGCGGAGGAGCTCGGCCAGCGGCGGCGGTGAGGTCGGGGTGAGGAGGCGGGCGGAGGAGGAGGAGAGAGGTGGAGAGCTTGGTGGGGTTTGGCGGAGCGCTTCAGGATTGGACGGCCAGGATCGCCTCCGTGCTCAGGGTTCGGCCGCGGACAGTGGGCCCCGGTTGTCGCGGGCCGCAGGTTATGAGAGGGTGCGGAGTGGGTGGGGTTGGTTTGGTGGAGGCAGGAGGGGAGCGGGTGGTGAGGGTGAGCCACTGGTGGAGGATGAAGTGGATTTTGGGAAGCGAGCGCGAGGCGTAGTGCTACGTCGTGTGGGGGCTTGGGCCGTGTTGTAAATGGGCTGAAATAAAGGGCGAACAAAAAAGTGGGTTTGCGATGCGGGCGCTTCCAAGGCCCAAGCCTGCTGCAGTTGAGGCTTTACAATTGCTTAAGTTTTTTCCAAGATTAGTCTCTCGTGTCATTAAAAGAGTAGTGATAATTATACTACGTACTATTAGAACCAAAAAATTAGGATAATTTCTCGTAAATTACACACAAAATTATGAGTTTCTATGGACCTCACTTATGTCTGGTAGCTACATCACTCATGTGGTATAGTTTTCATAATAAATTATTGTTGCTTAATCTTCATAACTGGTTTCACTGGCCTTCTCTTCAAACTTGTTCTGTTGAGTGTAAACTGAGTAAGAAAACAAATATAATATTTAGATTTATATTTCCAATTTTAGTTGCTGATAACATCAATATTAGAAAGCAAATAAAGTTGTAGTTTGTAGAAAAAATTACAACAAATCCTATAAATTGTTGCAGATTCTCAAAAGTGAAAAAAAAGGAAACCAATACACGAAAACAATGACACGTTGTAAATAAAAATAAAAATATTCGAAGTTCAAACGCTATAGCATTCTCAATCAAAAATTTTACGATAAAAATATATTTTCCATAATAAAATTGAAAATGTCAAGTAATAAATTTGAAGTAGATCTCTTGCTCCAAATACTCTTTGCAGAAGACCAATCAAACGGTTGAATGAATGTCGCCATTCCAAGAGAACCCCTGATGTATACACCTCCGATCCAATCTGCCTCTTAGTTAATTTTCAGATTTATCTTATATTCCCCTAATCAAATTTATCCTATTTGCAGATTTATCCTCAAATCTGTCTCTTATAGTTAATTTTCCGCCCGAATCCCATGAGATTGGTCAATTTGCTTCCCAAGTTTTCTTTTAGAGAATATACCCAATATATGTTAGAAGATAATTTGCGATTCTAGAAAACTCTAGGATATTTGTAAAAAAGTATGTAAAGTAGAAATATTTAGAATAATCTAGGAAGAATATATAATAAGCATGGATGTATGTAGAATTATATAGAATTTTCTAGAATTTTGATGTATCGTGAAAAATCTAAATATTCTAGAGAATTCCTTGAGAGCCTATAAATAGCATTGAATGTAAGCTTTATAATCAAGCCTTGAGCAATTTATACAAAGTTTCTTCAAGTTCTTAGCCTCTTTTCATTTTCCCTCCTATTTTCTTCATTCTCAATCCATCCCGCTTCCTCAACTCCAACAAATTTGGTATCAGAGCCATCCTTTTATACCTCAAATCAATCTTGAAAGCATTTAGCATTTTACTACCATTCTAAATGGCAGCCTCATCACCAATTGCCCCTTCTCTTTTCAACTACTCTCAAAACTTAGTCCCCATTTTTTACGGTGAAAACTATGACTTCTGGAGCCTCCAAATGAAGACACTCTTCATCTCTCAAGAACTTTGGGAGCTTGTCGAAGAAGGCTATAAAAGTCCAAATGACTCAGCAATGTTAGCATCATGGACACCAGCAAAGCAAAAGGAGTATAAAGAGAACAAGGAAAATGATGCGAAGGCATTTCTCTTTATCCAACAAGGGGTAAGCAAAGAAATCTTTCCCCGAATAATGTCCGCGTCAAAATCAAAGGATGCATGAGACATACTCAAACAATAATTCAAGGGCTCCGATAAGGTAATCTCTATCAAACTACAATCTTTATGGAGAGACTTTGACAACATAAAGATGAAAGATAATGAATCCGTGAAAGAATTTTCTGATAGAGTTATCTTAATTATTAATCAAATTAGAAGTTATGGGGATAAAATAGAGGATAAGAAGATTGTTGAGAAGATATTAAGAAGTATTCCCCCTACATGGGATCATATTGTTGCTGCCATAGAAGAATCTAAAGATTTATCAAAACTAAGTTTTTATGAACTAATGACTTCTTTGGAGTCACATGAGCTTAGAAGAAGCAGATCTTCAAGCCAAGAGGTGGAGCAAGCGTTTCAGTCAAAACTAACATTTTTAAGGAAATGAGGAGATGAAACTAAAGAAAATAAAGAACGAAGATTTTCTCAGAAGGTACAAGATGGAAGAGGCAACTACCATGAAAGAAAGTTTGGGAGACAAGGAAGAAAGAATGAGAGAGACAAAGATTTCCCAAAAGGTAAGTCTACCTCCTATTGTAAAATATGTAGAAAGTCCGGACATAACACATATAACTGTAAGTTTAAATGCACAAACTGTAGAAATACTAATCACTCCCAAAAAGATTGCTGGTATCATAAAAATAATGAAGTCCACTATACAGAAGTAGAAACCGATCACCTATTTTATTCATGTTTTAATGCACAATCAGAAGAAAATGATACTTGATTTTTGGATAGTGGATGCAACAATCATATGACAGGAAATAAGAGCATCTTCGTAGAGTTGAAGGATGGAGCAAGCTCTCAAATAAAGCTTGAAGACGGAAAATTAAAAAACATTAAAGGAAAGGGAGTGATAGCAGTTCAGACAAAGGGAGGTAAGACGAAATACATCTCAGATGTTATTTATGTTCCGGGGCTAACTCAAAATTTACTTAGTGTGGGATAATTAAAAAACATGGAATTAAAAAGGAGCTAACAATAAGATACACTCCACAACAAAATGGAGTAGCAGAAAGAAGAAATAGATCAATTGTGGAGATGGCGAGGAGCATGTTAAAAAGTAAAAATCTCCCAAATAAACTATGGGCTGAGGTAGTATATACAGCAGTCTATATCTTGAATAGATCACCAACAAAAGTTGTGCCAGACAAGACGCCATATGAAGCTTGGTATAGGCGAAAGGCGAAAGTGGATTTCTTTAAGGTATTTGGTTGTATCGCCTATGCACATAAACCAACACAACTAAGGAAGAAAAAGTTTGATGAAAAAGGAGAAAAACTCATCTTTATTGGCTACAGTGAAGAATCCAAACCTTACAGATTATACAATCCTGATACTAACAAATTGGTGGTCTCCAGAGATGTTATCTTCGATGAAGCAGGAACATGGAACGGTGAACCACATCAAACCTCAACACCAAGCATCACTGAAGAAGAAAGGAGGGGAGCCACGTCATATCAAGATTCTCCTAGTCCAAGATCCTCAGATGCATTAACTTTAGATACAGATTCACTGCCTAAAAAGGTGCGTTCACTTCAAGATATTTATGACTCTTGTGACGTAGTATTCTTCTCCTATAAACCACAGAAATTTGAAGAAGCTGTTCAAGATGAAGGCTGGAGAAAAGCAATGGATGAAAAAATCTACATGATCAAGAAGAACAAAACATGGGAGCTGGTGAATCTTCTAGAAGGAAAAGAGGTCATTGGCCTTAAGTTGGTATACAAAACCAAGTACAATGACGATGGCTCCGTTCAGAAACTCAAGGCTCAATTAAAAGGGTTACTCTCAGCAACCAGGAGTCGACTTCAATGAGACATTTGCTCCAGTTGTTTGTATGGAGACCATAAGGATGGTATTGGCTATAGCAGCTCAGCTCAAACTCAAAGTATTTCAGCTAGATATCAAGTCAGCATTCCTAAATGGAGAACTCATAGAGGAAGTCTATGTCGAGCAACCACAGGGCTATATAGTCAAGAAAGAAGAAAATAAATTTTATCGGCTGCACAAAGCACTATACGGGTTGAAGCAAGCACCGCAGGCTTAGAATAGCAAAATTGACAGCTACTTCCACGAGAATGGATTTCAAAGGAGACCGAGTGAACCATCTTTATATGTAAAGAAAAAAAAGGTGTGGACTTCCTTGCCGTTTGCCTATATGTTGATGATTTAATTTATTGTGGTACTAACACTATGATGATTGAAGAATTTAAAAGAAAGATGAAAGAAGATTTTGAGATGACAGATTTAGGATTGATGAGATATTTTCTGGGACTACAAGTAAAACAAACTGAAGAAGAAATATTCATCAATCAAGAGAAATACTGCGATGATCTTCTGAAGAGGTTCAACATGAAGAATCGCAATCCAGTAGCTACACTAGCATTGCTAAACGAAAAGCTATCAACGAACGATGGAGCGCCAAAGGTGGATGCCTCAAGTTACAGAAGCCTAGTCGGATCACTAATCTACCTCACAAACACTAGGCCGGACATATTGTATGTTGTAAGCATTGTGTCCAGATTCATGAGCAATCCAAGTAAGCTACACTATGGAGCAGCGAAGCGGATTCTTCGATATCTTCAAGGAAAAAAGAGTATGGGAATAAAATACACAACAGAAGAAGACAATGCATTATCTGACTACACTGATGTTTGGTTCGAAAGTTGCTATTTTTATTGCTAGTGAACTCATTACAATTTCAGCCATTACAATAAGTTCAAAAAAGAAGAAAGTCGATCTTTTTATAAGATCTCCTTACACAATAAAAATAAAAATTATAACTTTGTCAAACAACACACAACAGATGGTTATCGCCTGCTGTTTGCGTGGGATCTTTGCTTGTGCCGGGGACGTTGATATCCGTGGACCGTCGCGGATCAGATCTAGTTGACAGATTAATAATCAAAGCTCTTACTTCACGAAGGAAGTATTCGCAACTGTGGTAATCTCGACCAATCGATATTACGGATCTTCTCGAGATTAAGACCAAGCTTAAATCCGGAGGAATGGAGGGAATAGGTCTCAGATCTCACGAATTCTCTCTTTTTTTATTGAGGAACTTCGCCAAGATCTGCTAACCCTCTGAAATTCGTGCTTCACTCTCCAATTCGGAAGCACTTCGCCCTCTTGATGTCCGCCCTGGAAAATGAGCCCCTAGGTCTGTATTTATAGGCTTCGGTTGGGGGTTTTTGGATAAAAATGAGTGATTTGACATTATCTTCAATTAATAACGACCTAACCATGTTTGTGGATGATATCCAATCAGTTGGGAAGCTCTGGAATGAACAAATCTCGAGAAAATAGCAAAATACCCATCAAAATGCGTTTGGAGCCCGGGACTGCGCGATACGCCCTGCTGACCCGCGGGGGGCGCGGGTCGGCCGTGG